CTATGTCCTCTGAGCTGGGAGAGGTGGTTGAGTATCAGAGTGTTCCATCTCATTTCCCTTTGGGGTTGCTGTAGGTGATCTGGAAGTCTGGTTTTGAGACTTATTTACTTTTTTTCTCATTTCAACTGGGGTTTGGGTTGTTGGCGCCTGCACAGACTATGTCCTCTGAGCTGGGAGAGGTGGGGCAACGGCCAGGAGCAGCAGTAGGGATGGTGGCCCAAAAGCCCTTTCCTGTGGGCTGGGAGCAGCGGGAGGGATGGTGCCCGGGAAGCCCCTTCCTCTGATCCAGGAGCAGTGGGATGGTGGCTTAGAAGCCCCTTCCTCTGGGCCAGGAGCGGCGGGACAGAAGGTGGCCCAAAAGCCCTATCCTCTGGGCTGGGAGCAGGGGGAGAGATGGTGGCCAGGAAGGCCCTTCCTCTGGATCAGGAGCAGTGGGAAGGTGGCTCAGAAGCCCCTACCTCTGGGCAGGGAGCAGCGGGACTCTGTACCGTGGTCTGGTGGTCTGGTGTCCTCTGCATCTTTGTAGTGTGGAACCAGGTGGCTGTATAGAGGAGCGGGGGTGGGGGTCCAGTGGATTGTTGCTGGGGCGCGGGCCGATTCTGCTTGTTCCCTGCGACTCGGGACCTCGGTAGGGCCTGCGCAGACCTGCCTGTCTGTAGCGGGCTGATTCGGTGTCTTCCGCGTGACTGGGGACCTCCTCTAAGTAAATTTCTTATACTCTGGTACAGGCTGACCACATGAAAATGTCCTTTTTAGTTTTAATTTTATTACTTGAGCTTTGGCACTTTTGTGTGTTTCAACCTCATGTATGCTTGGAAAACATTTTTTCCATTACTAAAGGAGTTAGTTTATTTCATTTTTATGGAAAAATAAAGTTATAATACTTCAAAAGCCAAATTTTGAAAGAACTTATAAATGTATTGCTATTAAATAGAAGCATAGAGGGGTTTTTAAAATAATTTTTTTTTGGTACCAGGATCGAACTCAGGACCTTGTGCTTTTGAGGCAGGCACAGTAAAACAGATTTTTAAAATTTATTTTTTTTAATAACAGGAGATGGTGGGCCGGGGATTTAGCTCAGTTGTTCTGCCGCCTGCCTCACAAGCGCAAGGACCCAAGTTTGATCCTCGGTACCAAAAACAAACAAACAAATACCAGGAGACGGTAATATAAAAATTTTTTTTAATTTTTAAAATTTTGTACAGAGGCTTGCTAAACTGCCTAGGCTGGTTTCTATCTTGGAATTCTCCTGTCTCCATCTCACGAGAAGCTGGGATTACAGGTATGTGCCACTATGCTGGACTGTTTCACAAATTTTATCATCTGTGTTCTGATCTTTCACAAGACAAAAGGATAAAAATTCACAGTGGAGAACGAATAGACCAAATATATTTTCTGCCTGAAGGATACCAACACTGGATTGTTTTCTGAGAAAGTATATGGACCTGTTTTTTAAGGGGCCTTATAATACTTGTTTTTATCTAAAAGTAGGTAAAATCTATATTGAATGCACTAGGACAGACGAATCTTTTGGGGGGTCCCCTTTTAATGATCAAATTTTAGGGAGGGAAAAGTGGGTGACTTGAACAAAATAAGACATTTTCATTACCATCTAATCAAACCTAAAAGCATTTGGAAGAGGAAAGCCACTCAAAAGACTGGAGTGGCATGGCATGTTTTTGGAAAGCTTTAAGTTCCTCTAGAATGCACACTGGACAGGCAGCCCTAATCTTTAATCTCTCCATTGTTGGTATGGTGAAGGACAGAAGAAAAAAAATGCCACTACACCATCTGCTAGTGTCAACTACCCAGCTTTGGATGGAGAACAGTGACCACTTGTTCAAAGGCCTGCAGGTTTGATGCCAAACTGGAAAGAAGGTTTGGATTAGCTATTCCTCTTATAAGTAGGGATTCACTCTTTCAAATTCCTAAGTAGCAGAACTGCATAAGTAAATCCCCTTCCCAACACAAAAGGCAAAGCCGCATGCTATTGTATTTCTGGAGACATCGTGAAACGTTATCCACTCTCAGGCGTTTGTCCCTTATGATCAGGAGGCCAGGGAAGGATCGGGATAGGGGGCAGCGCTGCTGAGGCCTCTGGTGATCCCAGGGCGGCCGTTAGAGGCACGCTCTGGGCCATCCGCGTAGCGACCTTAGCCCGAAGGATTCGCCTGCCAGTCAGCTGGACCCCGGGCCTGCAGGCTGAACAGCTATGGCCTGCAGGGTTGGACTTAAGGCTGTTTCATCCAGGGCCTGCAACGCACCCGCGCAGTACTCACGGACCGTGCAAGAAGGTGGGAAGGATAGCTCTCGGGCGAGAAAGCAATTGCGCGCGTGCGCGGACTGCCACGGCTGCCTTGGGGGAGCGCCGGATGCAGCGAACCCGCACTTCCGGCAGAAGCCTTGGGGTACGGGTTCCGGTTGCGCGCGCGCGACAAAGAAAGGGAGTGGACCGCTCTGCGGCCCGCTGACAGGGCCATGGAGAAGCTGCGGCGGGTCCTGAGTGGCCAGGAGGACGAGGAGCAGGGCCTGACCGCCCAGGTAACGACCCTGCGCTGGCTCGGGGTCTGCTCGTCCGCAGCGAGGATGGAAGGGCGGAGCGGGCGAGGGACGTCCGGTTGGCTCGGGCCGGCCTCCTGGAGGCGCGGGGCGCTCTCAGGTTTTACCCCGGGACACTGCTACGCCCTGAGGTCCACCCCCTGCTCCCCACCCCCAGCTCCTGGTGGCTTCTTCCTCTCAGGAGCCCTCTTGGCCCTCAGCCCCGGTGTCCTTGCCTTGCGCGCGACAGGCCCCTGCGCTGCGGCGGGTTCGGCCTTGTGCGGCAGGTGTGAGCGGGGCTCCTAGTTGCGAGCTGTGGGAAGCCCGAGCTCCATAGCCTTGAGTCGGTGTGCAGGTAAATGAGGTGCTGTAGGTGTGGGGGTTCTTTTGGATATTGAGAGGCTGGAGGTAAACACAAAGGGCATGGATAGGTGAAGTAACAATTAAAAGTTTTGTCAGGCACTGAGGTCTAGTTAAGAGTTCTTTCTTTTTTAAAAATAAAAACCTTTGTTTATTGTATTTGCGCTTTACCCATGAGACTTGATAAGGGTTACTTCCTCCAGGAAGAGGGTTAAAAATAGGAGTGGAGCCCGAACTGCTTTGTTTTCTTATTTGCATGCTAACATATTTTTGTGTGACTGAGAGAAGTGGAACACTTGAAGCTGATTTGTATTACGTGAGGATCTTTTCCGTTTGTTCCCTTTTCTGATTTACCTGTCATCATATTTATTCAGCATATCTTGTGGGCAGGACTCTGGACTAGCCTGTGAGGGTCCAGAGTCTATAAGTATGTAACTGCACACGGTGAACTCTATAAATCGAACAGTTAATGAGCAAGTAAGTATATAATGTGTCAGGCAGCTTTTGTGCCGTGGAAAAAGTTAAAGCAAGTGGAGGAGCTTGAGATTGCCATGTTACATAAAGTGGTGGTAAGGCCTCCCAATTAGGATGACATCTGAGCATGGATCTGAATGAAGGGCCTTTGGGGTATCAGGGCAAGTTCTGAAGAGCCTAGCAAGCACAGGGTACACCTGATGGCGGAGCCCTGAGAACAGTGTGGTCAGCATGTTCCAGGCCAATACAGAGGCCAGGGTGGCTGGAGAAGAGGGAGAGAGGCGGACCAAGTGTAGGAGACAGGCAGGCAGGAAGTGGGATTCTCAGTCCTGTTATAGCTTGTATGTTTGACTTTTACTGGGAATGGGTTGGGCTGTCTCTAGTATTAGAGCAGAATAGTGACATGACTGATGGATTTGAAAGGCTCACCCTGGAGGACAAAGTGTAGGGTGAAGGTAGAAGTTAGAAGCCCAGAAGCTGGTCAGGAGACTAGTACAGCAGTGCCAGTAAGAAATGACTTACTGCGTGGGCTTGAATCAGTGTTAGAAGTAACAGTGGTTTAAAACAGGGAGACAGATTCTTTAAATGGCTTGAATGTAGAGCCACCTGTTAGTTTGACAGATTGGATGTGTGAAAACCAGAGGAGCCAAGGTTGTCCCGTGGTGTTTGACTTGAGTAGCTGGAAAGATGGAAGCTCCTTTATCTGGGATGTGGGAAGAGCAGGTTTCAGGAGAAAAATCACTTCATTGTGGATGCTAAGTCTGAGGTTTCAGGTAGGCAAGTGTCAGGAAGGCAGTTGGATATACATTTCTGAATTCTATGGGAGGAAAGAAGAGGGAGATGAGCTCACCAAAGGGTTGTGTGTAAGCAGAAAAGAGATAAGACACAAGCTTTAAACTTGACATGTCTCCACTATGCAAAAGTTAGAATGAGCAGGAATTTAAAAAGAGGACTGAAAAGAATGGTACTTGAGGAAGGAGAACCAAGTACAAGGGATGCCCTAGCAAGTGAGGGAAGAGTGTTAGAAGGCGGGGTTGTGTGCTCTAATAGGGCTTCTAAATTAAAAATTGAGATTGTAAGTGGAGGCCATGGATCACTTCTGAAAGAACAGTTTTGATAGATAGGATGAAAGCCTGATAGAAGTGGCTCAGCAGAGTACAGAAAGGAAGTGAAGACAGTGCAGTATCCCTGTGATTTTTGCTGTAAAGCAAAGAAGTGGGTTAGGTAATCAGAGGATGAAGTAGGATCAGGGAACATTTTGTTTTTTAAGTTAGAAAATACTAGATGGAAATAGTCCAGAAAAGGGGAAAATGATGATCACAGAGAGGTGCTGACGGGTCAGGGTGCTGACCAGGAGTGGCTGAACTGGAGTGGCCTGGAAGAGACATAGATGCAGATGCTGTGGGTGGGACTGTGGACTCCTGAATTGTTCCTTCTGAAATAAGAAATTAGGTTACCAGCTTCAAGTTTGGAGGGGGTGGATCTTGGACATTCAAGGAGAAAGTGTGAAGTGGTTAACAATAGGAGAGTAGGTAGGGATATACATAGATTTTCAGAGTACCAAAAAGAGAAGTGAGCATAATTTCAGTTTTCTCTCCAGCCAGGAGTGCATGGTGGAATTTAGATTTTGTCTGATAAATACATCAGAAAAGCAAAGGGCAAAGTTGAGAGTGTATACAGAGAGTAATTATAGGAGAGCCAGAGAGAATGGGAATGGGGGAACGGAGGGAAAGTGGTAGGGTCAGTGGGTAAGGTGAAATACTTGAGCTTACAGACACACTGTGAATATTACAAGTGTACATGTTTTGTTTGCTTGTTTGTTTGCTTGCTTGGTTTTTTGAGACAGGGTCTCGCTATGTACTCACTATGTAGCCCAGGCTGGCCTCAAACTCATATGGATCCTCCTCCCTCACCTTGCATGTGCTAGGATTACAGGTATGTGCCACCACAACTGGCAGTGCTTGTTATTAATGAATACATGGTTCAGTGGCTGCAGTAATGGGAAGGATTGGATAATTGGAGGGGAGATGATAAGGAACCAATAGCCTAGAGTTTGGAAAGGATTGTTTACTCCAGTGGTGAGGCCATTAAGACTAAGATGTGGTCGACAGACAACAGTAACTTTTGAAAAATAAAAAATGTGACCAAGGAGGGAGTTAGTAACACAGTGAAGAAGGTGAGTAGAGGCACACTGTCCAGGGGGACTTGAAAGTAGGTGTCTCTAGGAAAGAGGAAGGGGCAGGAGAGTATGGAGGGGGGACACCTACCCCACTATCCATCCCAGTGGTAAGGGTGCATGGAAAGAACACAGGCCCCTGGAGAGGATGCAAGAAAAACCAAAGTCAGACCCAGCAGGAAAGTAGTGGGGATGATCAGAGGAAGGTGAGGATATGTGGAGCATCATCAGGTGCTTGGGGTGGTGGGAAATGGGCTTAGATTACAGATGCACAGGCCTGGAGTGGGGTATCCTGAGTGTTAAATTTCTTATACAGCTGGATCTAAGCAGGATAGGGGACATAGTGGAAGAGGCCTGGGATGTGACTGGTTCTAGACTGGCCATGGAGCTGGGCAAGGCAATGAGGCTCATGGGACCTCCTGGAGTCAGGGCTGCTCAGTCCTGCTGCTAAGAGGGGTTGAGGCCTGGGAAGAGGCAGAGTAGCCAGAGTCTGGGCCCTCATTAGGAAATATCTGGAAAGAACTCAAGAGGAGAGGCCTGATCTACATCTCAGAGCATCCCATCATGTTTCTCCCCTCCAGATTCCTTCCATGGCCACTCAGACCTCTGCTGACTTGACTTTGTTTCCCTCCTCCAAGGGCACACTGGGCTCCACCATCTCTGTTCTTCATGCTGAGCATTTTTTTCTGCCCAGGATGCTTGGCATTTGCAACCCATTTCTTTTCAAGTTTGGAATTATCTCTTGCCTATCTTTATAGTGAGGCCCTTCTTATCCCAGTTACTCTACCTCTTTGCTTCCTGTTTAGAACTTGCCCCATTCTCTCATTACCTCTCATTTATCTGTGTCCTTCCTCATTTGAATGTAAGCATCATAAGGGCTGAATCTCATTTATCTTGTTTCCAGTCGTACATCCAGAGCCTACCAGGTACCTGCAATGAGTATGTTTATAAAGACTTGACTAGCCCAGCAGATCCCAAGTGGTTTGGATTTGGACAGGTGCTAAAGAGGAGCACTTACGTAATCATGTGGCAAGAATCTAATGAGGGAACATAACAGTCTACAAAGGTCTCTTATTGTACACCCTACCATACACTTTTATTTAAAAGTCTGCAAGATGTCTTAGTCTGTTTGGGCTACTGTAACAAAGTTCCTTAGACCAAGTGGCTTATAAATAACAGAAGATTATTTCTTATTCATCTGGAGTCTAGAAGTCTAAGATCAAAGTACCAACCAATTCCTTATTTGGTAAGAACTGCTTTCTGGTTCATAGATGGTACCTTCTTACTGTGTCCTCATGTGGTATAGGAGTGAGAGCTATCTGGGGTGGAGCCTCTTTGGAAAGAGCACCGGTCTCAGACCTGAGAGCTTTGATACTATGACCTAATTATCTCCCAAAGGTTCCACCTCCTAATGCCATCACCTTGGGGGTTAGGATTTTATCCCATGAATTAGAGGCAGACATTCAAATCATAGCACAAAGTTTGAGACAAGTCATTTGCTTGTGGATCGATTATTTCATATTTACAAATAGAAATAATTTGTTACAGTATTTCACCTTAAAGTTACATGAAAGATGGTAATAGAAAAATACTTGCTATTATACAAATTTAAGTTCTTGCTGCCTTTGTCACAAAACTAAGTAGTGTACTTACTGTGACACTGTAAGATACATACTTGTTCTTCATCCTGTTTCCTGGCATACAGCTCCTAAAATCCTTGGAATCTCTGAATCAGTTCTGTCTTTTTGTATGCTAATGAGTTGGCTGATGGCTGGATGCCTCTGTTGGGTTCAGGTTGGGGTTTGGTCCCCAGAAAGACCTAGGCAGGTTTAGAAGGTTGA